TGGGACAAATACGATTTAAAAGACACAGAGGTATCCAACCCCTGGAAACTATGCATCCCAAACCACAAGAGACAACAACTCCTGGCAGAAAACCACGAGCAACCGACCGCAGGACATCTAGGAATAGCTAAAACAATAACCCGCCTAGCTAGAAAATACTACTGGCCAGGGATGTTTAAAGACGCCGCAAAGTTCGTCAGGAACTGCAAGAACTGTCAGCAATTTAAGCCGCAACAAAGCTTAACTCCAGGCCGCATGCAATCTACACAAATTCCCCCACATCCATGGCACACCGTTTCAACCGACATCATAGGACCCCTTCCAACATCCAGCAACAAAGGAAACAAATATATAATGACATTCCAGGACACCTTTTCAAAATGGGTCGAAGCCATACCGATCAAAACAGCAACGGCAAAATCAGTCTGTCAGAACTTAAAAGATAAAATCATTATGAGATTCGGATCACCCAAAGAGCTAATATCAGACAACGCAAGAACATACGATAACAGGGAAGTACGAAAGTTGCTAGATGAATTCCAGATTTCTAAAAGAAACATTCCGCCATATTCACCCCAGAATAATCCAGTAGAAAGAACAAACAGAGTAATCAAAACAATGATAGCTCAGTTCTGCGATAATAACCATAAGAAATGGGACACGAGCCTTCCAGAACTACTATTCGCATATAATACAGCTAAACACGATTCAACAGGTTTCTCCCCAGCCTTCCTGAACTTTGGACACGAACTAGAAATTCCAAGTAAAGTCGTAAAAACCCCAAACGACACACAACATACCGATCAAAACATAAAATGGCATAAACTACGAGAAACATTCTAACTAGTACGTACAAACCTGGCAAAAGCTTTTACAACTCAAAGCCATTACTACAACTTACGACGAAGAGAGTGGAAACCCACAATAAACGACAAAGTCATGAAAAGGGAATACCAACTCTCAAATGCCGCCAAAAATTTTAACGCCAAATTAGCACCGAAATTTTCAGGCCCATATACTATAACAAAAGTGTGTTCTAATGTAATATTCAAATTAAAACACGACGATAAAAACCGTACAATAACAGCTCATATCAAAGACCTAAAACCCGCATTTACCGATTTCCCTACTCCTTAAAACAGTCCAAGCACTTACAGTCAACACCAAGAAGTGACAGTATATTTTAATACAGTTTACCAGTAACCTTCAAATATAATGTCAGACACGTTAGAAATATATTACAGTGACATAGAAATGGACGGCACAGTTACGCCGCCACCATACACCGTTCCAGAGTTAATATCACCATTGGGGAACACACCAAAACCTAACACCCCGGGCAAAGGCTGCGAGCCCCTGATAAAGGCTATTTCCAAATTTAAAAACCTTTTCGATGAACCAACCATGGGCATCACAAAAATTCAGAAAGTCCAGTCAATTCCAGTGTCAATCCTGCTGCTCTCACTAATTCCGCCGCAGCATAAAGAAAAAAAAATACAGACTGAGACTCCCGAACCGGGTGCTGAGGATAAAAACCAATAATGGAAGCCCCACGAAGGAAGACGTTTTTTTTAAGAGAGAGGAAGACGATTTTTTTAAGAGAGAGGAAGACGATTTTTTTTAAGAAGACGATATTTATTTTTTTAGGGCGGACATTTTTTATTTCGATGTATTGTAAATTGTTTTTTAGGGTAACCAAGTACCTGGCAAGGAATAAAAATAAAAAAATTTTGTTCCAAAATTTTTTTTCCCAGAAGAGGGGGTGTAACGATGAGTCCAAGCCATCACCGTTAAGCCAGCGTGCGCGCGAACCAACCCATGAAGTAGGAGTGTATCGACAGTAGAAAGGGCAAAACTTTGCTATATAAACCGCATTATTTCCTCATAGAGGCAGAATCGTCAGGTGTTGACTGAAGGTTCTCTTCTCCCCTACCCCGGCTTGTGGACGTGTTGAGTTCACAAGTTGTTTCCGTTCCTTACCGCCAGCCGGAGAGCGTGTTGAGCTCTCCATTACCCGTACTCCGAAGCAGTCGTGTTGAGACTGTCGAGGAGTGTCCTATTAACCCGAATCACTTAAGGGACGTGTTGAGTTCCTTTCTTTTCTTTGTACCTATCGTCCGCTGTTATTAAATCGACACATCGTTCACGTAAAATTCCGAAAACACACTCGATTGCCGATAAAACTTCATACGACAAGGTCAAACTTAATTTGAATAAATAGGCCAGGTACTGAGAAGACTAAACTAAATTGTAAATATGTACATAAGATTTTTGTCAATTTAATTTAAGGAAGACAATAAAGTTTTATTTTTATTTTGAACTCTGTCTCTGACTGTCCAAAAGCTACCCGGATAGTGACTCCTACGAGAGGACGTCACAAATTAATACTTTAATTTTCTAATATATGATTTTCTGACTATAAATACTATATTTTAAAAAATTTAAATATTCATATTTGGCGTCACTTTTTACGTAAGCATAATAACAATCTAGAGCTAGTTATCAATAACAAAAACAGACACGAGTGTCTTTCTGACATAAATCAAACGTGATTATAATAATCAATGTCATAAAATATTCAAAATTAAAATATTGTACTTACATAAAAATATAATTTAGATAAGAATGTTTTGTGAATTTAATAATTTAATGGTTTAACCTCATGTTGTAAGTTTTTATATTAGTTTTATACAATGTTTTTTAATTCTAATTTCATTGTATTTACCATAACATATTTTAGCATATCCTGATGAAGCAAATAAATTTTGCGAAAGCTTGATTTAAGAACAAAAGAGTTTAACTTATCCTGCCCTACTTAAATGACTGCATCCTCAAAATAAAACTTTATTTTACATAACGTGTCAGTCAATAATACCTAACTACTTTATATATATATATATATATATATATATATATATATATATATATATATATATATATATATATAGATATAGATATATAGATATATATATTGTTTAGGACTTTTGTGGTAAGCTTAAGTGCGGTACCTCTATAATTGTTGGGGTCTTATTTATCTCCTTTCTTGACCATTGGTATCATTATGCTGTTTCTCCATGCGTCTGGTATCTTGCAGTGCAATATTAGTTTTTGTCATCTCTAGGGTTAAACTTTCTCATCCGTATTTTAGAAGCTCGTTGGTTATTCCGTCTGGTCCTGGTGACTTTCTATTTTTGAGTGAATTTATGACTATTTTTACTTCGTGAAAACTGATTTCTATTTCGTCTCTTAGATCAGGTACGTTATTGTGTTGATTATTATTTTCCTTTGCTTTAAACAGTTCCGTCAGGTATATATAATATTATTTGTGAAGAATCAATAAAATCGGATATTGCAGGTACATATGAAATACAAGTGATTGGGAATTCTAACGATTCTGATTATGATATTCCTCTGAACCACAGATAAAACGTCCAAAGAAAAAACCAGGCAAGAATAGTAAATTCAAATTTATCTCAAGTTGTAATAACGGATATTCTTCCGTGCTCAGTATTAATTCAACATCAGTCTGATTGATATTTAGACAATATAAAAGGCAACCGTGTAGGCAAGTCCTATATTGAAGTTTTTTCACTCTTTTTGATAAAAAAGTAATTGAGAATAACCGTCACAGTTTTGAAATAAATAACATAGATTTAAAAAAATTATTAGCATATGTATATTATTTGGTTTACACTCTGCTTCAAGTTAATATACATTGGTCAAAGGATGAGGATAAAGAAGTGCATATTATAAGAGAAAGCATGAGCCGACTTAGATTTATAATTTTAATTTATAATAGTGAAGTAACCGCTACATCAGTGTCAGTACATGGGCGTTAATCTAAATTTGTTTTACCAGATGAAACCAGATTCGACAATATTGGCCACATTATAAAAAGAAACGATAGTGCAAAAATGTAGGATGTATAAAAGTAATACTATTTATTTATGTAAAAAGTGTAGAATGCATCTACACTTTTTAAATTAAAATTTAATATACGTTTAATATACAATATGTTCCTTTATTAAAAATTGTACTGTTTTTCTTAAAAATGGGAAAAAAAATCTTTTTGGTTGTAATTTATTCCTAATTTGTGTTTTTAATCCAATCTAATAAATTAATTGTCAAATTTCTCTTTGTATATTAAGCGGCCGTTAAGGGTTTAATACTATATAAATAATAAATTGGCCTCAAATTTACTTTACTTACCTCAAAACTATTTTAAAGTTAATAATAAAGTATATTAAATAAATATATTCCCAATAATACATTACGCCTATGCACATATGTATAAAATCTGGAAGATATCGTATTTCATAAACTTCAATAAACTAAGATATCATATTTCTCTAATTAACATTCTTTCTAAAAACGTAAATATATATAGACCAGCAAAATATTGATAATTTTACCGATGTTCCAAACTATTCTATGAACTTGTCTCACTATACACTCGTGAATCGCACCAATTTATATTGTTACGGGGGCACATTTATCTTACATGGGTTACAAATTTACATATTTACATGGGCGAAGCATACACAATTAAAATGACCCCGGTAAGAATTTACTAATGAAATTTTTCATGGTTGCCGCTTCCCTTTAGTTCAATTTGTAGATTAGTAACCTTTAATTGAAAATTGTCCGACTATAGTAATTTTTAAATATTTTTACTTTTATATTAATCTTGCTGACCTATTTGAGAGGGAGGATAAGTGAATTATTATTACTGAAGCTATGACAAAACGTACTTTGCAAAAACCCGAATTCCACCTCTCACATCAAAATTTAGTCATTTTTCACAGATCTGCCCTTTGTATACAGAAATCACTCTATAATATTCTGCTTGTCACGTATCTCTGTGCAAATTTAGCGAAAATAAAATTGTACCTACATGTATACTTACTTGAAGTATGATCTACGAATTTTTCAAACAAATAGGTAATGAGATTAACGATATCCTATTTCCAACTAATTAAATTAAAAGTACATAGGTACATATCAGTATACTTTTATCTAACTAAACAATATTGGATAATGACAACGACACACAAAATAACTTAGTTAAAATATTTTCGTTTCTCCATTCATAGCTTACAGCTGTAAGTAATTTATATTTAATAAATTATTGAATTGTCAGGTTTACTCAATTTTTTTACATACTATTTTAATTTAAAGACTTCTTGTGTTTTAAATTTTACTCTTACTGCTTTTTTGTATTAAACTTAAATGATTTTTATCTCTTCTTCTTCACGTGCCATATTAGAGTTATCCGACGTTGGCGACCACTATTGCGAACATTTCTCGATCTTCTGTCACATGGAATAATTATCCTGCATTCATCATCTCAGTCCAATCACGATTGTTCTTTAACTATAAATCCGTTTTCTTCCTACACCTTTATGGCCTTCTATTTTGCTTTTAAGGATTAATTGTAATATTATATACGATTTTCCCTCACTATATGTTCCAGATAAGACATTTTCCGATGTTTAACTTCTTTAGCAATTCTTCATCTTTGTTGACCCTCCCTAGTACTTCCTCATGAGCTTTTCATAGTGCTCCCTGAGGTTTCTTTAGCATCCGTCTATCAATCCACATTTTCAATGCTTTTATTTATCTCTTATTTTTTTCATTTAGTCCATACGTCCATTTTCAAGAATGTTATCCTTAATTAGGTATATGATTCTTTGATCGGTTTTAGTTACATTATTTAATAATTATGAATTTCGATTTGGTTACATTTTACCTGATTTAACTGATACAGTGACGATATATATATATACGTTGATCCTATTTTGAAAAAAATGCTTTTGTATGCTTGTAAAAAAATGTGCAAAATATTATATTATGGATTCATTTCTTTTAGATAAAATGGCAGTGATTCGACAAACAAGCTATAACTCCGATGTTAATAAATTACGAAAAAAATTACAAAATTATTGGGGTAGTATACACACTGTACAAATATATAGAAAATATAAGGAAAACTTGGGTATTACTGCAGTTGAAGGAAAGGTAAATATTTAGGTAGTATTAAATAAATAAAGCGCTAAATTAGGGAAAAACATATTGAGTTAATATTTCTTCTTCTTAGTTCAAGCCAGACATGTTTATCTCTGATATTTGTTATAAAACAAAAATTGTTATAAAACCGTTATACCATTTTACAAAAAAAAGTTTTTATTTAATTGTAAGTTTTTTTAAAATATGGTACACAGCCAACCACTAGAAATTTCTCTTTTAAAATTTTAATTGTGTTAATCTTCTCAGCTAAGATTACTTCTTGTGTCATCATATCTAAGTTCAGTCAAAAGACGGATTGCTGGATGATTGAAGGATAGTTCCAGTAGAGTAGTATTCGTATGACTATTCAATACATAACTTGGTTAAATAAACCAAATTACCGAATATTGTTTGTATTAAATCTCAGGATAGTTATAAGTGCTACCGCCGAAATATATAATTCTAGCAGGGAGAGACCTGTGATAGTCTATAAAGATGCCGCTTCTCTACTATTTAATTATTCAGTCGTGTTTAAAAGCATTTGTCTTTGTAGGATTGTGAGAGAGGTCGAACAATATTGCAAAGCCTTTTTTTCACCAAAGTACTGAACCATATATTACTGTCGGTTACATCACTGATGAATATAAACAACAGATTTGTTTGTTTCAGCCCTGAGGAACAAATTGCATCCACAACAGTACACGGAAAATTTCTCCTAGTCACCATTACAATATCGTCTGCGAATCATTGGACCCAAATTCCGTGGCTGTTAAGTCCATGATTCAGGTTATCAACGATTATATTCCATAAATTTGTTAATAATACATCCACTTAAGATCACTCCTTAGTTGCCAGTGGATATTATTCTGCTCTGAAGCATCTGAGTTGTCTTGTTCATTTTCTTCCTTATCGGTGCAATATGTACTGATTCGATAGAGGTATTATCAAATGCACCTTTGTTGTCTAAAAATGAAGCACCGGCGAGTTCTTTTTGATATAAACTCACTTTCAACATAAATAAATCAGACTTATTGGCCTATATAATTTTGTTAAGGTACTCTCGCACTCTTGTTCTTCTCGAAACTTTGGTAATGTATTCCAGACCATGACTAGCATTAAATATTTGGATAAAGGGAGCCACAATTATTTTTAGTGTCTCTTGGGGTAGCCTGGGACTATCTGGACCCGGAGCAGTTTTATAGGGTTTAAAAGGTTTAATAGCCCATCTGACCTTGTAAGACCCAAGAACCTTTTCAGACTTCAGCCAGTCAATTCTGGTTGGGCTTTATTTTGTTTGTTGATTATTTCCACTATTCCATTGCGCCAATTACAAAGTGAATACTTAACAAATACAGCCACGTTTTCAGTATTCGTATACTTCTCATTGAGCAATTTAACAATTCAACTTACTTGGGTTTATAATTGTTATCTCTTTTAAGAATTCTGTTAACCCTGGTACTGTCAGGTAGAGTTTAAGTGTGTTCACATAAATTTAAAAAAATGTTTATTTAGAGGATGAGATTGTCTTATTATGTTTTCTGTTTAGCCTTATATGATTTCCTCGCCCTTTTAAAGATTCGTCTTGCATCTCTTCTAAGGTCAGACAGCTTCTTATTCCACCAAGCTGCTTTTGTCTGTGCATTTTCTTTGCTGGATCGCCTTGACTAGATCAAAATAGTTTTCCACCGTGGATCTCAAAAGCGCCTATTGGCAAGTTATAGTCTACCCTTAAGACAGGGAGAAGACAGCATCTTATGCTGGAAATCGACCCTACCAATTCAAAGTGATGCCATTTGGTTGCACCTGCTGTATTTGAATAATTAATGGAGCTAGTACTTAGGGAACGTACATGGAAAACCTGTCTGGTATACCTCGCCGACATCATGATCATTGGAAAGAATTTCGAGCTCTTCCAAGAAAAAGTTACTTTCCTTGCACGTGTAATTTTATCCTCAGTAGTTGCAGTAGACCCGGCAAAAATAAAAGCAGTACAAGAATGGTCCATACCAAGAAACAAACACGATGTTCGAAGCTTCCTTAGCCTTTGGCGTTACTATCGTTGCTTTGTACAATATTTTGGAAAAGTTAACAGAGAGAGAGAGAGAAAGCTGTTATTTTACTGGACACCAGACTGTCAGCTTGCTTTCACTACACTCAAGGATAAATTGACAACGACACTAACCCTGACATTTACAAAAGAACAAGGTTTTTTCGTGCTTGATACGGATGATTCTCATCCTATCGGTATTGCCCCAATAGCATTGGGGCAATACTTTCCAAAGTAAAGAAGGGCGAGGAGCACGTCATAGGATACTTCAGTAAAACTCTGGGGGAAAAGCAGAAAGAAACTACTGTGTCACTAGAAAGAAATTATTGTCGGTCGTCAAAGCAGCACCGACCATTCTGCCTTGCAATGGCTTTTTAATTTCAAAATATCTGAAGGTCAGATAACTCGATGACTAAAGAAAATACAAATCCATGATTTGGAAATTAGCAACCGAACAGGAATAAGTCATGGAAATGCCGACTTATAGAGGACGGCAGTAACTAAGAAGTTCTGACTAAAGAAAACCTCCAGGCTGAACAGAAGAAACATCCAGATCTAACAATAATCCGTAAGTGACTAGACAATGGAGCTAGGAAATAGTGGCAGGAGATTGCAAATATGGGCAAGCAATGGTAGAGTCCAAATGGAGCAAGAACAGTGCTTCGAGTGGTTTTTCCAAGATCATGTGTTAAGAAGTTGCTTGTAGAACTGCATGATAGCCGCTCCGAAGGGCATTTTGGGATATATAGAACTCTGACCGGAGTCAGTAAGAGGTATTACTAGGTTAATTGTCGGTACTATGTAGAAGAATGGTGCAAAACGATGTGACCTTTGTACATGCAAGCAGGGACCCAAAACGAGAGTTAGGGGGAAACTATAACAATAAGTTACCGATACTCAATGAAAACGAGCTTCTGTCGTTATTCTGAGACTAACATCAGGAAATAAGTATTCGATGGTTGCTCTGGACTATTTTTTCAAATGATCACAAGTAGTTGCACTACCCAACCAAAAATCAATCACAGTTGGTGAGGACCTGCTTGAGAATCTCTTGTGCCGACATGGGCTTCTACTTCTGCTTCATTCCCACACCGAGCGCAACTTCGAATCTTAAGTTTGGAAGACCATTTGCTGTGAATTAAGAAGACCAGAACGATACCGCTTTATCCTTAGTCCGACGGCATAGTAGAAAGATATAACCGGACCATCAACAACTACCTGTCCCTGTTTGTACATGAAAACCAGGGAGTTTGGGACAAACTGGTGCCTCTTTTTCTTCTAGCCTACCGAAGCTCTCAACATGAAGCAACTGGTTATACTCTAGTAATGCTATTGACAGGTCGAGAGATAAAGCTTCTCATTGATCTCCTACGTGGTAATCTACCAGACAAAGAGGCGGACCAAGAGACACTACCCGAGTATGTCAGCGACTTAAAGGATCGACTGGTTAAGTTTCACGATTTCGTCAGGAATAAATTGCTGCTCACCACTGACCAGTTGAAGATTAGGGTCGATTAGAAATTTACTACCGTTAGATTTAAAGAAGATGATGCAGTCTGGCTCTACCAACCAACGACAAGGAGAGGTCTAAGTCCCAAGTTGTAGCTGCGCTGGGAGGGACCGTATCTGGTTACTAAAGAAGATGTATGACCTTATATATCGGGTGCAACTAGCGTCACAAAGTAAACTGAAGGTCATCCACCTGGAAAGACTGAGCCCTTGTAAAGGGAAAGATCCACCAAACTAGTTCATTTAGGTACTGTTTGGGGCGAACAGCATGAGAAGATCTTTTCATCTAAAATATTATACATGATGTTTATTTATAATTTATAATATTTAGTGAGTTTTTTGTAGTAGTGTAAGTTAGTTAAACTCATCTACATTTGTTTCACTTAATCCTTGAATCCAGAGAAAATGTAACAATATATAGAATTTTTTTTCATATTAATTATATTGTATCGTTTTTTATAACCTACAAAACCTTAATTTTACTTTTCTGTGAAGTCACCTGCATAAATTATCTAAATCTATTTTATTACAGGTTAAATTAGAAACATCGTACGGTATATACTCAGAAGATATTTTGGGTATATTTATAAAAACTGTTTTATCAAATAGCTGTGCAGAAAAAACAGGAAAATTTAAAGTAAGTTCATTATACTGAGTTCGCTCATCATGGGAATATTTTGACAGATTAATTGTCGGAAACATACAACGTAAAAATTCCTATCTCTAACTATAAAAAGTCCAAATAAACTTTTTGCAACCGTTTTCATTGAACTAGAAGAATAATTACGAGTAGTCGGAGTGTATATTAATTAATTTCCATTAAAAGCTTCTGAATTGCAGATACTAATCTATAAAAGACTATAAAATTTCAGAAAAAAATATTTAAACTTTTGTTTTAGTTGATACAGTTTTATTTGGTTAATAACCTTCATATAAATATTCTTTTACTTTAGGTTACAATTAATATCGTCTATGGTATGGGCAGGTGTGTTTTATTGCACTCGTGAAATATAAATTGAATAATAAATAAATTAAAAGCAGAAGAAAATCACGTTTCCTTCAAAATTAATATATATATATATATATATATATATATATATATATATGTATATATATATATGTATATATATATGTATATATGTATATTTATATATATATATATATATATATATATATATATATATATATATATATATATATATATATAGAAAATAAATTTAATCTTTGCAGATAAGTTAAATAGTAAACTCTTAAATATTGGGGAAATCTGCAAGAAAAACTCTAATGTGTATCAATTGTTTCGCCTAACGTTTTCGCCAAAGAGAATTAATTTGGCTTCTTCAGGGCTGAAAGAGAATAAATTATAATTAGCTACCATATATTATCTAATAAAAAACATTTACCTTACCGTAAATTTTAGAAATGTCGAGTTATGATGTTAAAAAACTTTAGCTAGTAACAACATAGTGGTGTTTTTTTGTTACTATGTGCAAAAAAGTTATTTTTGTTAACGTTGGAAATGTATGATAGCTTTGAACTTAAAACGCAAAGGTTTACCCAAGGTTAATCGAAAAACCCAATGTAACTACATTTAAAGGAAGTAATTCTTTGAATTGTCGGCAATAACTAAATTTTTGATTGTTATAAAGTTTGCATGTGAGGTTCTGTTTTCATAGAAAGCAAGCGCTGACAATTACAAGTAGTTTTTTTGAATATTTATGTCGTTAAGGTTCATTGGTAAAACCGATGAAGTTAGATCCCAGTCTGAGGAGATATTAGTTTAGAATTTTCTTAATTGAAATTCTTTTTTTAATTAGTATATTGTTCATGTATTATTATAATAATATCTTATTGAGATGTATCTAAGAAAAGCATGGGAATGTTATCTTTTTTAGTTAATGAAAATTATTATTAAAGTAGGTTAGTTGTTAATAGATTCAAGGATTCATGACAAGGATTCTAAAAAAGTCTTGAAAATAGCTTTGGGAATAATAATATTAACATTAAACTTAATGTGGCTTGTAGATCAGCCTTCATTAACTAAAAAAGATAACATTCCCTTGTTTTTCTTAGATACATCTCAATAAGATATTATTATAATAATACATGAACAATATACTAATTAAAAAAGAATTTCAATTAAGAAAATTCTAAACTAATATCTCCCCACACTGGAATCTAACTTCATCGGTTTTACCAATGAACCTTAACGACATAAATATTTAAAAAAACTACTTATAATTGTCAGCGCTTGCTTTCTATGAAAACAGAACCTCACATTCAAACTTTATAACAATCAAAAATTTAGTTATTGCCGACAATTCAAAGAATTACTTCCTTTAAATGTAGTTACATTGGGTTTTTCGATTAACCTTGGGTAAACCTTTGCGTTTTAAGTTCAAAGCTACCATACATTTCCAACGTTAACAAAAATAACTTTTTTGCACATAGTAACAAAAAAACACCACTATGTTGTTACTAGCTAAAGTTTTTTAACATCATAACTCGACATTTCTAAAATTTACGGTAAGGTAAATGTTTTTTATTAGATAAATATATGGTAGCTAATTATAATTGATTCACTTTCAGCCCTGAAGAAGCCAAATTAATTCTCTTTGGCGAAAACGTTAGGCGAAACAATTGATACACATTAGAGTTTTTCTTGCAGATTTCCCCAATATTTAAGAGTTTACTATATATAAATATATATATATATATATATATATATATATATATATATATATACAGGGTGATTGATTAGTGTGAGGAAGCTCAGTAGATCTGTTATAGTAAAAATTACTAAAAAAAGTTATTAACAAAAATTGTAGGTAGCTTTAAACTCCACATTTTAAAATTAGTTACAATCTTACAGGGTGTTCCATAAGATGGTGGCCGACCAAACTTATGTTTTTTAAAATGGAACACCCTGTATTTTTTTTTAATTTAAAATCGGGTTCACTTCCACATCACAACAATGTAAAGTTTTATTATGTTATACCGGGTATCTAAAAAGTTATAACCAATATTACATGAAAATTGTATCAAGTTTAACTCCCTGTGCAATTAAAAAGGAGTATAGGAACATTGATCTATTGCAACCATAGTTTTTAAATAATTGTTAAAAATTATAAAACATATTCGTTTCCATAATATTCGTTAAATCAAATACAGGGTAAGTCAAAATGCAAATACATTATTTTCTTGGTAATTTTAAATAGAACACCCTGTATTTTATATCACTATCAAAAAGTAATAATATCGTGCTTCTAATTTTATAAAGTACTCCCTATACCTATAGTTATCAGTTTTCTAGATATTATTGTTTTTCCATCAAAGTATTAATTTGGTAGATATTTTAACGTTTACCAACTCACAATATAATTATTGTGATTTGGTTATGATTGATTTGTCAAAAACTGACAGTTTGACATTATTGTTTAATAATTCAGTAACGAAATAACGACACAGAAAAGAAAACAATTTATTTTAAATAAAATTTATAAAAAATAACCGACGGAAAATAAAAAAAAAATATAACAACACATAGAAAAAAACAACAGTAAGTTTAACTTATCTTACTTAAGTAAGGTGTTCAAAATGACCTCCCAAAATATCTATGCATGCTTGAAAACGGTCATTGAAAGAGTTGGTTACATTACTAAGCATTTGTAAAGAAATATTTTGAAATGCAATTCGGATTCTATTTTTCATATTATCATCCCTTGTTGTTGGGAGTATTTTATATACTTCATTCTTAACGTAACCCCAAAAAAATGAGTCCATTTTATTGAATTCTGGTGAACTTGGGGGCCACCTTACCGGTCCATCTCTTCCGATCCATCTTTCCCCAAACTGATTATTAAGTTCACCACGTACTAATTCGTTGTGGTGCGCAGGAGCACCGTCATGTAGAAACCACATTTTTTCACGTATATTAAGTGGAACCTCTTCTAATAATATCGGTAACTGATTTACGATAAAATCTAAATAAATTTCACCATTTAAATTATCTTCAAAAAAATATTGTCCTACTACATGGTTACCGACGATACCTCCCCACACATTTAGAGACCATCTTGTTTGACTATGCGTTACTATGTGGTATGGATTACTTGTTGAGTAGTAGTAAAAGTTATGCCTATTAAAAGAACCGTTTCGATGGAATGTAGCTTCATCACCAAATAGGACATAATCAAAAAAATATCTCTGCTCATTAATTTTTTCTAAGGCCCATTCACAAAATACTGTTCGTTTCTGAAAATCATCATTAATTAATTCTTGGTGCTTTTGAATATGATAAGGGTGCATCTTGTTTTTAGATAGAATGTTTTGAACAGAGTAGTAACTAAGTTCTTGTTCATTGGAAATAGTCCTTATGCTTGTGTGTGGGCTTTCTGTAACCGCCATCAACACACTCATTTCGTTTTCCTCTGTCACACTAGTTTTTGTTCGTTCATGTTTTTCATAATTCACTGAACCAGTGCGGTTAAATCGATCTTTCAATTTTTCAAATGTATCTTGTCTAGATTGTCGCCTATCTGGAAACCGTTCTTGATAAATTCGAGCTGATAGTAATGAATTTTTATTGCATTCCCCCAATATCCAGATCATATCTACCATTTCATCAGTAGTAAAATTCATTATTGCTAATTTAAATTGAATCAATTACTGAATTACTAAATAATAATTGTTGCTAATTTACGGTGTACCCCAATACTGAATTAATAAATATTAATGTCAAACTGTCAGTTTCTGACAAATCAATCATGGCCAACTCACAATAATTATTGGTAAACGTTAAAATATCTACCAAATTAATACTTTGATAGAAAAATAAAAATATCTTTAAAACTAATAACTTTAGGTATAGGGAGTACTTCATAAAATATGAAGTACGATATTAGTTCTTTTCGATAGTGATATAAAATACAGGGTGTTCTATTTAAAATTACCAAGAAAATAATGTAGTTGCATTTTAACTTAACCTGTATTTGGTTTAATGAATATTATGAAAATGAATATGTTTTATAGTTTTTAACAAATATTAAAAAACTATGGTTGCAATAGATCAATGTTCCTACAATCCTTTTTAATTATGCAGGGAGTTAAACTTGATACGATTTTCAGGTAATATTGGTTATAACTTTTTAAATACCCGGTATAACATAATAAAACTTTACATTGTTGTAATGTGGAAGTGAAGCAGATTTCAAATTTAAAATAAAATATAGGGTGTTTTATTTAAAAAAACATAAGTTTGGTCTGCCACCATCTTATGGAACACCCTGTAGGATTGTAACTAATTTTAAAATATGGAGTTTAAAGCTGCCTACAATTTTTGTTAACAACTTTTTTTTTTGTTATTTTTACTATAACAGATCTACTGAGCTTCCTCACACTAATCAATCACCCTGTATATGTATATATATATATATATATGTATATATATATATATATATATATAATATATATATATAATATATATATATATAATATATAATAGATATATATATATATATATATATATATATATATATATATATATCATATATATATTATATATATATATATTATATATATATATATATATAAATATATATATATATATATATATATATATATATATATATGTATATA